ATATATATATATATATATATTTATCTCATAGAAACAATTTATACAAAGAACTAAATAGCAACGTTAATGTGATTAATGGTGAAATCACTTCACTAACAAGACTTAGTGAGACATTAACTTACTATCAATTCTAATATTAATCACATTAACATTGCTATTCAATTCGTTACATAAATTGTTTCTTCAAGAAATAAAAGATAAGGTGCACATCCTTATATATATATATATATATATATATAGCGAGACTCTTCGCAAAAAGTGAATTGAGTCACTGTCAGTCACTGTGTGTATTTCTAAAAATAAATACGCTAAAATTCACCTTCATCCCTGACGTATGCCGACGGCTTAGTGGTAGAATCTCCAACTGACACCAATTCAGTTGGGTTTCAATCCTAGCTAGAGGCAACCAGATGTCTAGCCACACTGATGAGCTGTGAAACAGTGAAAGTCTGTCTGTGGATGACTTATATATATATATATATATATATATATATATAATTTAAATAAAAACAGACCACTTTAAGGTTCCATGTAATAAATTATTTCACCACAGCCCTTGGGTTTACCCATATGGATTACCTAGTTTTTTCATAAACTAAATATATATATATATATATATATATATATATATATATATATGAATAAAAGACAAATGGAAAACAGAGCTGACATGTTTCAACCTCTGCTGGACTTTATCAAGGCAAATGTAAAAAAAGTTTATTTTGTAACAAGTATTTTTTAAAATCAGAATCACCCCATGCAAGGCAAAGCTACTAAGACACAAAGGGATACAGGGTGTGAAGGAATTAAGAACAGAAATATTAATAATGAGCAGAAAGAGAAATATGGAGTTGGAAGGGAGTTCCACAAATAAGAAGTGCAAGAAAAACTCTTAGCATAAAACTTATGACTACATCTAGCCAGGTCAACTGTAAATTGAGGAGATCTTGACACCAGGCTATTACTGCACTTAAATTCAAAAAGTCTAGGAACGGCAGTGAAGAGATCATCTATAACATTTACCATGAAAGTATTTATAGAAAAGACACAGAGAGGCAACTTTACAGTGGTGGGAAAGCCGTGCTGCCAGATCAGGACCAATAATATTGCTGATTCTTTCGATTTTATCAAGGATCTCAAGGTAAATAGCAGAGTATATTTATAAACAAAATTAAAAATTAAAATTTAAGAAACTCATATTCATTACCAAAACTTCTTAGTTAACTTTTCAGTTAAAAAAAAAGTTGAAATTATCAAGAAATCCAGTGATATACACAATTATTATTAACTCCCCCACTTTTTTTTTTTTTAATAAATCTTTGAAATGTCTACTTTAACATCTCTTTGGGTAAGTGGCAGAAATGATAACTGATTCTAACTGCTGATTGTGAAGCCATTATAAAATTATCAGCAATTGCACACCTAAGACAGTTGGAAGAAATGACTTTTGACAACATAAGTCAACTAATAGTGAAAAACATAGCACCCAGGGAAAAACTAGTGAATGCAGAGAGAAGTAAGTTCATGAATATTCCTCAAAAAGTGAATGAATTAGTCATCAAATATGTTCTTTGTTTAAAACAGGCTTCTAAATATTGTGAATTTGAGAAACCATGATCGGAAAACCATTCAATCAAAGTGCTTTTGATTCAAATGAAATTGGTAAATGGCTTTCAAAAGGAGGAGTATTGGAAAATGTCTCTAATGCATTTACAACTGGGAAAGTTTTCATGAGAACAGTGTGTCACATTTGTTCCAGCACAAGAAATTGAAAATTTAATAGAACAAAAATTATGGATCTGGTAGAGGAAATGGACGCACATGTGATAAAGAAAAAAGATACAATAATGTGCACTTATTGTGGATATCAACATCATAGAAAAAAATGTGAAAAGTGTTTTAAAATGAATCATTTTAAAGATATGTGTAAATCCAAAAAGAAAAAAGTAGAGACAGTCTAACAAAATGAAGAGGAAATAAATATGAGCTTCTTTTCATTGAAAAAAAAAAAAAAAAAAAAAAAAAAAGGGGTTATTAAAAACCCAAATTTTTTATTGGACATTCAACTATATATGGGAAGTGATATTATGTTGATACCCAGAAATCTCTGGAAGAAATTAGGAAACCAAGATTAAAGAAAAGCTATGTCCAATTGAATCAGTTTGATGGATCTGTGATAAAAATGTTAGGCTATTTTGAAGACTACATGGAACTAAAAAATAAGTTTGGCATATTACCAATTATCGAGGCAAACTGTGAAAGAAATCATGGTCTAATAAATGATGTATTGAACATAAATTCAACAAAATTAGTGAAGAAAGTCAAAGTAGAAAAAACTGGGATGTTAAAAAACCATGAAATGAAGTTAATACTAACGGAAACTGCCACCCCCCTCCATATTTTGAAGCATGAAAAGTGCCAGTCCATTTACTACCAATAGTTATGAAAAAACTAAAAAATTACTGAAACAAGATCTACTGGACTTCTGCCAGGAGGGAGCAAATGGGCCCCCCCATTAGTAATTGTAAGAAAGAAGGATAGGGATCTGCATGTATGTGGTGACTACAGATTAGGTGTAAACCACAAAATATGTGCAAACTCATATCCTACCAGCAATATAGAATGGGCTTTGATCTCCCTTGTGGGTATGAAAACATTTTCTAGAATTGATCTAAAGTTGACATGCCATCAAAATACCTATTGACAAAGATGTTAGAGAAGACACAACAATAAACACACCAATAGGTTTATTAAGGTGGAAAAGAATGCTGTATGGAATTAAAACCACAAGTTTCATTTTTCAAATGGCTATACAGTAACTTATTGGTAGTGATATAAAAAATATAATATGCTACCAGGATGACATTTGTATTGGTAATATTAATGACAAAGAATTAAAATGGAAAACCAGTATGGTTTTGAATAATTTAAAACGTGCTTGATTAACAAAAAAAAAAAAATTATGTGCACAACACTAAAAATTCCATATCTATTCCATATCTAACAAAGGTATATCATCAGACTAATTGTTAATTGACAAAATATTAAAAGTAGAAGTACGTAAGAACAAAGAAAAGAATTAGAATCTTTATTGAGACACTCGCAAATTTCTACAGATGATATGTAGTGCAATACTATACTCCAATTTGACAAAACCTTTTGCTGCTTTAAGTAAAAAAAGAATGTGGAATTTATTTTCAAAAGTGGCATTTGAAAATTTAAATGCTCTTCTGGCAAAGAAGCCAGTAGTAAAATATCTGACCCAAGAAAGGAAATAGTATTAACAACCGATGCAAATGAACACTCCTCTCAGGGTTACTAACTCAGGATAGTCATCCTATTATGCATCTTTCCAGAAAATTGTCAACAGCCGAAATAAACTACTCAAATATTGAGAAAGAAGTGTTGGCCGTAATATGGTCAACAAATAGAGCTCATCAGTTTCTGATTAGAAAGAAAAGATTATAACATGTGGGATCAGGTTGAAGTCATAGACATAGAACATCAATGGAAAATTTGTAAACTTAAGGAATCAGCATATATGCCAGGCCACAAAAATCTCCTGAGCGGACCAAGCATAGAAATGAATACAGTATGAGAACCAGTAATAAGGAGTGCCAGAGAAAAGCAATAACAATGAAAATGAGCTCTGGTTAAAAAAAAAAAAAAAAAAAAAAATGCAATGATAACAGCAAAAATTGCAATATGAGCACTGGTAAAAAATGATTGCTGAAAACATTAAGTTTATAAGGCCCAGAATTTCGTAAACAGATGTCCTCAGTGGATAATGGCGTTAGAGCCAGTGACAGGACCCAAAGTATGAGAGTTCAATACCTAGTTAAGGCGGTGGAAAACTTGGAGAGGGGAGATAACTGATAACTAACATCCATTAGATATGGCATGTTGAACTAGAATAGTTTACCCAAGCGAACAAAATGAAGGGTTCAGTTCGATATTCCAACTACCTGAAGAAGGCCAAAACATTGTGATAAATATTGGCCACAAAGATGAGGATGATAGTCCGAGCAATGTAAATAGTGTACATAATACCTCATCAATATAGACAGATATTATAACTTCTATCATATAGGAATAAAGTTTCACTTCTGACACTTGGGTTTTAACACAGATTGCAAGCATAGTTGACCTCATCTTGTAGGTAAAAAAAAAGTATATATATATATATATATATATATATATTGGAATTATTGGTGTCTGACCAAGTATTGTTTGAAGTTGTTACTATTATTGTATCTCTGGTTTACAAAGTATCTCCTACAACTGGGCCTGACAAAAGTGGCGAGGAGGATGTCATATAGGAATAAAGTGTCGCAGCCAACACTTGGGTTTGAACACGGATCACCAGAGAGCAAGCACAGACGACATCATCTTGAAATAATTGGATCACGTGAGAGGTAAAAGAAAAGTATATATATATATATATATATATATATATATATATATATGGCAATTATTGGCGTCTGACCAAGTATTGTTCGAACACGTTACTATTATTGTATCTATGATTTACAAAGTCTCCTATAACTCATTACAAAAACTTCTTAAAACACCCTTTATTTTCTTTTCTCATTGACACCTCCTAACTCACCAAAAGCTTGGGACAAGAAAACATAAATTTTGGCCAATTTATCCACACATAACAACCACATTTGAAAAGGATATTCTTGCATTACAAAAAAAAAGGATCATTAAATTGTCTTTGATTGATTGATACATCTTTTATGGATTATCAGCTCTTTTTGCTGGTTCTTTAAAACCTGAAAATTTTTAGATTGTAAAAGTTTTTGGAGATAGTAATGATTTACTGATAAATCCTACTAATTAATCCATAGCTGGAGGGAAGAGGAGGTGGATTCATGCCTTTCCCAAGGTTATTTGCAGGTAAGTGAATATAACAAAATCTGACTGGAATTGGAACTCGGTTCTCTGATCTCCAATTTTGAGCTGTTATCTATTACACCACCCACACATTCAAGCTTATGGCACCTGGGATTCCCAAAGTGTCACCCATCTAGGTACTGACTAGGCATGATGTTGCTTAACTTTGGTGATCGTATGAGACCAGTGTTTCAACATTAGATGTCTGTAAGCCTTCTATTGTTTTTAACGATACACATAAAAAAATAATTTGTATCATGGTATATTTTAGTAAGGTTAACAAGCAATCTGTAAGCTAAAAATTAAAAATAAACAAAAAAACAGAAAAGTAGCCAGTTTTTTTTCCCTTGTACTTAAACCAGATGCCTGTTTCAATTACTGTAAATTGTTTTGTAAAAGTTGACCTCAAGATTTTTAGCTCAAAATTACGAGTTAGGCCTATATATACCAAATGTCAACCCCCATATATACGGTAGGCTATCAGTGGCTCAAAACTCAGGCCTACCAGTAAATGAAGTTAGTCTACAGTATACAATGACCTGTGTCAAAACTACATAAGGTCATACCACTTACCTGTATATTGAGACACTAGCCATAATATCTTTCTATATGTATGTAAACTAACTACAACGACACAATGGCAGGTACTGAATCTTGTATAACTTAAACATTTAAAATTTGTCAGGTCTACTGATAAACACATTAAAGTAAACATCAACTATGAGATATTAATACTGGAGATTATACGTCATACCAGGTAGTTTTTTTGATAGTACTGCTACATATTGTATGTAATTGTAAAATATAGTATCACTCATCCGCCATTTGCATGAGCTGTTGGATGTGATGCGTGTTGTAGCATCTATCAGTTATTTGCCATGTGTGATACACACTTAGGTAATCATGTATCTTTCGTTACATGACTGACAAGGCAGATTTTTTTTTCCCACAATATGTTGCCATCCAAGGCTATAGAACCCAGTCTGTCCTGCTATTTACCCATAGCTAGGGGGAGAAGAGGAGGATTCATATTTTTCCCAAGGGTATTAGCATGTAAATGAATATAATGGATTTGAGTGGAATTCAAACTCGGCTTTCCGATTCCTCAATCTGAGCTGCTATCTATTACTCAATCATGCCTCCTCAATACTGAATGTGTTGCTAGTTAATTATTTTATATTAATTTCTGTGTTAATACAAAATAAAATAAACAAAAAACAGAAAAGTAGCCAGTTTTTTTTTCTTTGTACTTAAACGAGATGCCTGTTTCAATTACTGTAAATTGTTTTGTACAAGTTGACCTCAAGATTTTTAGCTCAAAATTACGAGTTAGGTCTATATATACCGGATGTCACCCCCCCATATATACGGTAGGCTATCAGTGGCTCAAAACTCAGGCCTACTAGTAAATCAAGTTAGGTTACAGTATCTTTCTGACAAGTCAGATTTTTTTCCCCACAGTAGGTTGCCATTTCTTTCTATGGTAGACCAGTTGCCATCCAAGGCCATAGAACCCAGTCTGTCCTGCTACTTACCCATAGCTAGGGGGAGAAGAGGAGGATTCATACCTTTCCCAAGGTTATTAACATGTAAGTAAATGTGATGAATTCAAGTGGAATTCAAACTTGGCTTACCGATTCCTCAATCCGAGCTGCTATCCATTAGTCCACCATGCCTCCTCAATATTGAATATGTGTTGCTAGTTAATTATTTTATATTAATTTCTGTGTTAATACGCCAAATATGTTCAAACACAAGTTTTAGTGGAATATATTTGTAGTAGTCTGCTGGTAGTACGGTATGTATTGTACAGTAATTGTTAGGACTGCTGTCCCACTTGTTTACAACTTGATGATAAAAGTTTGCATGTTATACCCACCGTATAAAATCAACAACTAGTTTTGAGAAGATTTTTTTAGGATTGAAAACTAGACTTGTATACCACAATTTATGGAAAGCAAATAGTTTCCCCCCAAAGTGTTTTAAATTTCCTTTCATTTACAAGTCCTCCAACTCCTTAAACAATAGTTGCAAAGTGATTATTCACCTTTCTATGATGTCAATGTCTTGTTCCATCTTTAAGGCAGCATCAAGGGCAGCCTGTACCCGAGGAGCCACAATGGGCCCCTCATAATCAGAGGTTGTACGGGTCGGCATGTCCAGCTGTAGTTGAAGAATATTCTCACCCTGTAAATTAATAAAAACAACAAAAAAAAAAAATCAATTTATGCTCTTTTGTAGATACAAATTTTTTTTTGTTTTGTCAATTCTTCATGAAAAAAATAACAACAGTGCCTCTGAAGAATAAATGGCTCAGATTTGAAATGAAAAATGAAAACTTATTTTATTGAACAAATATTTTTCAATATAATCTCCTTCATTGGCAATGCACTTAGCACTCTCAAACATCATACAGGGAAATTTCAGATCAAAATTCAGTTTTTAATTATATCAGGCTTACTGATATGCCCTCATATACCTAGTAATGGACATAAGACACTTACAGTTGTTGGAATTTCTTAGAAGAAACATTGTCAATTATTATTAATTTTGGACTAGTATTTCTTTCATCTTATTTCTCTTTCTTTAACACCAAGTAGTAATAGTCTTTACATCAGTGGTTCCTGAACCTTTTTGACTTGCCACCTCCTTGTGTATCAAAACACTACCGTAACTCTACCTCAATGTCTAGTCAAACTTTGATTTGATTTTCTTGGTACTAGTATTGCGTGTCAAGTGTTTATTTTAGTATTTCACACAATAATTGTTATAAAAATGGGATATATTGTAAAGTGAAGGCACAATACACTTCTGGCTGCACAGGTTTTTCCTGCCTACTTTGAGATTCACGGTTTTACACCAAGTCGTAATAATCTTAAGTTGTCTAAATTTCTAAGATGAAGCATTGTCAATTCTTCATTTTTGACACAATTCTCTTTTCTCTTATTTCAAGTACGCAGCATCATCTTTACAAACCTTGAAAGCCATTTATGTATCTAAATAAATTTATATGTAAAAAAAAAAAATGATTTGAAAGTTGAAGAGCTTTTATCCTTAAATCAAAAGTAAAAAGGATAATGTAAAAATTAATTGGGAATAATTTTTCTTGCTCCATTAAATATGGTATTCATTATTTTACAGAAAATATTTACCCAGTAATATGTTTGTTTCTTTTGCTGCCAAACACTTTGTCGTACCAGAAAATTTTTCTGGTCTTAATCCATCTTGGACATTTACAAATCTACCATTATTCCGTACATTGAATACTGTTATCATATCTAGTCTGGTTCTCCTGCTGTACATCTCGAGTTTTTTGACAAAGCCCAAAGAAGGACCTGTAATGTAATTGATCCTGTTCAGGCATATAGACTTCAGTCATTATCTCACTGATGTGATGTGGCTTCCCTCTGTCTTTTCTACAAATATTTTCATGTCAACTGCCCTGATGAAATTTTTCCTCCCCTGGTGCCATCTATGTCCCACCCTTTGCTAAATGCAACCACTTCTACTCCAACAGTTTCTTTTCTCGCACTTCTCACCTGCGGAACTCCCTTTTGTTTATTTGCTTCCCTGATAACTGCAATCTTCAAAAATTTAAATGCAACACCAATTGCCATCTTCTGTCTTCTCGAATCCCATTCATTTTTTGCTTTTTCCTCAATCCTCCCTATTCTCAGTCTTCTCTTTTTCACTCCTGCACACTAGTGGTGTTCCCCACTTCGCTTAGGGTGAAATGATAAAAAAAAAAAAACTCACCTTAAACCGAGGATTTCCAGTGAGGGATCCGAGTCTTGCATATTCAGCTACAGGCCGACGATTACCAATTGCAGACACCGGACGCTTGGCCATCGTCTGAGTGCTTGGGAAGAGAAAATAGTCGACTTTAAAATAATCTGTATAAGAATTAACCTTTACAACACAGGAGGTGAAAATAAAATTCTCTCCTTTTAAATCTGAAACAGTTGCTATAAATAAACCTTTTTCAACTGTTATTTGCAGTATTTTAAGCTGGAAATTGCCTACTACTGCTTTGGAATGAGGCTAAACATCTGTTTTCTGATATCATTTTGAATTCTTTTAGACTTTACATGAGGTGTAATATCAATTAAAGCCACATTAATTTTTTCACAATTTTTTGTAAACAAAAATAGCCACATCAACATCTAACAAAGCTTTTATTCAGGAGTTTTTCATTCACTTTCATTTAGATACTGGTGATGATTTTGAAGGCTTTACTCAAGCGGATATTGATGGTGAAGATGATAATTACACGTCACTATGAGGTCAAAAAACAATGCTAACCATGAGGTGCCAAGCAGCTACTATCATCCATAGCTGACTGAGTTTATGGAAGCTACTGGCCCTATAGATGTACCTGACAGTCTTTCTGAAGGTGAATTTATTTCGTCTATTTATAAACGATGAAATAATAACTTTATTTGTCAGAAAGACAAATATTTTAGTCAGATGAAAGAAAGACCAAACAAATGCCGGTGTCTTCTCATATGTAAACACGAGGATGCATGTCACTTTTTTGATGAAATGAAGGCTTTCTTAGACATTTTGTTTTTTAGTGCACACCAGAACTCCACAAGGAGCAATAAAAGTTAATGTATGTTAAATTGTTTATGTATTTTTTAATGTATTTGTTTTTTATTTTTAACATTAAAACATGCATTCAAATTACATCAAAATATTACTCATTCATTTTTTTTTTATTATGTACAAAAAATAAAATCTATAGACACAATAGAAAGAAAGTCATAACAATTTTAAAACAGTAGGTGTCATGTTTTTGCACCCTCAAAAAAAAAAAAAAAAAAAAAAATGAAGTGGTAGGGGGAACAATTCTAGAAAGAAATTAGCATGCTAATGGTTAATGAAGACATATGCACCATGAAATAGAGAGGCATACCACCACCATTCAAATTGATGCAACTGCAGTTTCCGCAGCAAGTCAATTTTATTAGGTGGAGTTGCTAGACCTACAGCCTGCTGGTCTGAATACAGAGTTAGCCTTTTCCTAGACTGGGTGGCAACAAATCTATCCTGATATTTTTCATACTGATAACCATTATTGTTGTGGTAAACCCTCCCACAGTAGAATGAACTCTTCCTCCTCTCATAAAAACAGGGTGTCCATAAAGTTCGTGTGCACTTTAAAAAATTAATAACTTTATTTGTATTTGTGATAGA